CTCCCGTCCACCTGTGTAAAGGTTACACAGGTGCGTACAGGTGTGCAACAGTTAAACAGATGCATACAGGTGTGTAAGGATTAAACTGATGTGTACACATGTGCTAGGGTTAAATAGGTGCATATGGGTGTGTAACTGTTAAACAGATGTGCAGAGCTGTATAAGGGTTAAACAGATGTATACAGGTGTGTAAGGGTAAACAGATGTGTACAGGTGTGTAATGGTTATACAGATGTGTACAAGTGTGTTAAAGTTACACAGGTGTGTACAGGTGTGCAACAGTTAAACAGATGTGTCCAGGTGTGTAATGGTTAAACAGATGTGTACAGGTGTGTAAAGGTTAAACAGATGTATACAGGTGTGTAAGGGTTACACAGATGCGTAAAGGTGTGCAACGGTTAAACAGATGTATACAGGTGTGTGAGGGTTACACAGATGCGTAAAGGTGTGCAACGGTTAAACAGATGTATACAGGTGTGTAAGGGTTACACAGATGCGTAAAGGTGTGCAACGGTTAAACAGATGTATACAGGTGTGTAAGGGTTACACAGATGCGTAAAGGTGTGCAACGGTTAAACAGATGTATACAGGTGTGTAAGGGTTACACAGATGAGTAAATGTGTGCAACGGTTAAACAGATGTATACAGGTGTGTAACAGTTAAACAGATGCATACAGGTGTGTAAGGGTAAAACAGATGTGTGCAGGTGTGTGACAGTTAAACAGATGTGTACAGATGTGTAAAGGTTAAACAGAATTGTACAGGTGTGTAAGGGTTACACAGGTGCATAAAGGCATGCAACGGTTAAACAGATGTGTGCAGGTGTGTAACGGTTAAACAGATGTGTGCAGGTGTGTAAAGGTTAAACAGATGTGTACAGGTGTGTAAAGGTTAAACAGATGTGTACAGGTGTGTAAGGGTTACACAGGTGCGTATAGGTGCGCAACGGTTAAACAGATGTATGCAGGTGTGTATTGGTTAAACAGATGCGTAGAGGTGTGTAACGGTTAAATAGATGTATACAGGTGTGTAACGTTAAACAGATCCGTACAGGTGTGTAATGTTTAAACTGATCAGTACAGGTGTGTAAGGGTTAAATGTGACTGGCACATATGGGATTACTTTATTACAGTTATTCCCAAAGGTTCTCTCATTTTGTTGACGTTTTGGTTTCCAAACCTGTAAACGTCTCACACGTTCTCACCCTGACCTCTGAAGCTGAAACCCGCTCAGCTGTTAGGATCCGTTACAGCTGCAGAACAAGGAGGCTTCTGGGACTTGAATCAGCATCTATAAGCCACTGACATCAGAACTAACTGGACCCAAACCCGTCTGGAGCCATGTGCCACTTAAACAAGTGTTCTGGACCAGAAGTGAAAGCCCGTCTCCTAAATGTGACTGAGAGATTTCCATCCCGGCTCCTCTCTGTCTGACGCTTCTCCTGAACCAGAATCTGTTGATCGCGTTTCACCGACTTTAAGGAGAACATAGTTCTGATCCAGAGAAACCCTCTTTGTTGCTCAGACCCAAACCTGTTCATGCAGAACCTTCTATAGAACCTCCAGACGATGATGTAATTGTTCTGATCTCAGCATCGTAACGGAGGAGCCAGCGCTGGGTTATGTAAGTGTGTGTGTGTGTGTGTGTGTGTGTGTGTGTGTGTGTGTGTGTGTGTGTGTGTGTGTGTGTGTGTGTGTGTGTGTGTGTGTGTGTGTGTGTGTGTGTGTGTGTGTGTGTGTGTGTGTGTGTGTGTGTGTGTGTGTGTGTGTGTGTGTGTGTGTGTGTGACACTCTGACTGACTCAGAAAACAAGGTAAACTAAAACACTTCAAGACGTTTGTTCAGACTAATGAAACGGAGCTGATGTTATCTAATCTGAAGCACAAAGAGCCTCCCCACACACAGATTACAGATTATATGAAATCATGAACATAGATCAATCCCACCATCTACACTCATCCCTCCAGATAATAACACTCAGCCGTTTACATTTTCCACTTGGTAAACAACGCTGCGCTTAATCTCAGGCACAAATAATGGAGCTGCAATCAAGGAACTGCGTTTATCGTAATGACGGTTGTCATGGCAATAAGAAACATGTGGCTGGTGCTGATGGGCGAACAGTTAAGGTGGCAGAATGATACCAAAACACAACGGTGGTATCCATCAGTATTTGCCCGTACGTTTCAGCCATGTTTCTGGGATGGACCAGTGAACAACACACCTCTAGTAGTGTTCTCCAGCTCAACTATCACTATCATGGCTTTTACTTTTAACGATCGCACACGTGGCTGTTTTAATAAACGAAGTGGGCGGATTCTGAGAGACCAGGAGACATTTATTCTGTCTTCCCATCATGCATTTAGAGGATTAAATTAGTATGAATAAACATTAAGTCTTCCTCTGGGGCTTCAAACATCCCGCCCACTCTAACAGCTGCAGCTTCTGTAGGAAGCTGGTTTGTTCCTCCGGAGAGGATGATGAGGAACCCCCTATCCTCCTGAAACATCACACACACACACACACACACACACACACACACACACACACACACACACACACACACACACACACACACACACACACACACACACACACACACCAGGTAGCATCACAGGGGGAGGGGTCTAACCTCCTTTAACTATTTCTTCCATCCATCAGTAAAGGAGATGTTTAATGTTCATTAAGATGTTCCACAGATTTTTATTCTTTCTAAAGCAGAACTTTAAGCTCCTCCCACTCCTGCAGCTCGTGAACAACAGCCACAACTCCAGAGTGGATGCACGGCTACATCCTGTGGAACCACCTCCCAGATTTAGTCCGTGGGGCAGACACCTTGTCTACTTTTAAGACTATAGGCTTAAAACATTTTTATTTGATAGGGTCGATGGTTAAAATCTGATGTTAGCCCAGATCTGGACAAGTGGGGGAGTAGAGTTTTTCTCCCCAGAAGAAGCTACAATGATGTTCTGCTGAGCTGTGGTAGCCTCATGGAGGGGGCCATCGGCTATACACTGCTGCTGACCACTTAATCATTCTCCCTCTCCTGATAATTACATTTTACCCTCTTTGACATTGAATGTGCTACTACTAGTTTACCCATTTAATCGTAGATTCACTAGGATAAATACAGTAAAGTTTATCTCCCACCAAATAGAACATTTACTAAGAAATCACAATGTAACCATAGACACACTTGGTATATATGTTGTGTGTGTGTGTGTGTGTGTGTGTGTGTGTGTGTGTGTGTGTGTGTGTGTGTGTCTGTGTGTGTGTCTGTGTGTGTGTCTGCTCTGTCTTCTCGATCCCCAGTGAGTCGTGGAGGATGGCTGCTTATACTGAGCCAGGATCCTCTGGAGGTTTCTTCTTGTTAAAAGGGAGTTTTCCTCTCCACTGTCGCTGCATGCTTGAGGATTGCTGTAAAGACTTGTGACACTAGTCAGTGACTCGATGCAACCTGCTGGGTTCCTTATATAGGAAACTTGTTACTGATTGGCTGCGAATGACCTGACCTGTATTGGGATGTTTACTATGTGAAGGTCCTTGAGACGACTCTTGTCCTGATTTGGCGCTTTAAAAATAAACTGAATTGAATTAAACACATGAAAATATATTCTGTTATTCATTATTTAGGCTTAATTTAAATATCAGCTGTTGGTGAGCCTCTAGTCCAGGGCTATTCAATTCTGGCCCTGGAGTGCCTGGTTTTAGTTTTAACCCTGCTTCAACACACCTGATTTCAATCAGTAGGTGATTAACAGGCGTCTGCAGAGCCTGATGAGCTCCTGCACAGGTGATCTGGTGTGTTGGACCAGAGAAACCACTAAAATGTGCTGATACCGACTCTTGAGGACCAGAATTGAATATCCCTGATCTAGAGGGTTATTCTCAGAAAATGTCACTGAAGTACGTTTCTGATTCAGCGTTTGGCTAAAGACTCATTTCACTGATGTTAGTCACACCTGGACTAAGACACCTGCTGCTCAGCCCGATTATTTTATACTTAACACATAAAATCCACACATTTAGACTTGTGAAGTTTTCTAATCTTCATAAAAATCCCAGACACAATCAGAACCGGTTCTGTTCTAAAACGGTTCTGTTCAGACCAGGACTAAATTATTTACACTAAACACAGAAGCTGTACATTTGTTTTGTTGTGAAAACGTTTTTATTTGTTTAGCAATAAATAATCCAGCTGAGCCCCAAAATCTGGTGGAATGGTCTTTTAGCTGTATGAACCCACCAGCGCAAGAAGACACGCCCACACGTTCCAGAGCAACAATTTGAGTGGAGCTGCTCATTTTAGCGCTTTATTAACACAATTCATACATATTTGCGCACATTTAGGAAATAAACGCGATTTCCTGCGCAATTTGGTCTCAAAAGGCGCAAATCCTGATCCCTGGATGTCTGCAGGTTATGGCTCCTTTATGGGATGGGCGGGCTCCGTGGGCGCTGCATGCCGTCTGCGCCAGGAGCGCACCCGGCTCCGCAGCTGGAGCGCATCTCTGCGCTCATCCTGACAAAACCCGCGAACATTGCAGCGTTTCCGTTAGTCAAACACACCGATAAGGACCGACGCGGCTGCAGTGGGATCCACCTGGTGAGAACAAAGCAGCCACAGAGGAGAGACGCAGCGCAGCGGAGTGGCGCAGCCGCTCGTTATCAGGCAGAAATAAGCTCATGATGCTCCAACAACCAAAAGGCTAATTGGCATTAATGCACGCGCCATAAACCCAAACCTCCACCCCTCACCCCCCATCAGCTCCAATCACCAACATCAAAGGAAACACCCAGGACTACCTGTCATCCATCCCATAATGATATAGAATCATTTCTAATGTAATAATAGAGTAAATAAAAACAAACAAGGCTGTTGTTTTGTGCAGCCAGGAACCATTACTGCCGCTAACGCTGGCGCAAGTGTCCTCACCGGGAGAGCGAGGGGGCAGAAAAAGGCGCAGACACAGCGGCAGTCTGAGCGGATAAAGAGCGTACCTTTGCTCTCCTGTCCCTCGTCCTGAGCCTCCTCCACGGTGGACTCCATGGCCGGTTTGGTCCCATCCATGATTTTAGAGGTTTAATGGCCTCCTGCTTCTGCACTTGTTCCTGTGAGCGTGCGCGCGTACGGTGGAGTAGTCCTCGTGCCGTGATGCCTCTCTCTCTCTCTCCCTCCCTCCCTCTGTGCTCTCTCTCCCCTCCCTGTTGGAGCTTAGCAGCTCTCTATGTATTTTATAAATCCAGACTCAAAACGCAAAGGAGATAGATTTATTTCACCCGTGCAGATTATTATAACCCCCACCCCCAGCCATGATTGCAGATTCCTGACCCTAATTCATCATTTCCACCTTAAATGATGCTGTTTTGTCTTTTAGAGCTGATTTCCTCCCTTGTTTCAGTGAATCGGTGCAGGATAGAAGGACAAATTGTTCAGTAAATATGCAAACTCATGGGTAGCCAAGCATGCATGAACACACACACACACACACACACACACACACACACACACACACACACACACACACACACACACACACACACACACACACACACACACACACACACACACACACACACAAACACCACCCCCCTCTTCAGCTGGGTGAGAAAGTCAGGAGGCGATCCATTGTGCGGTTTGGTCATATCAAACTTCTCCTCCATAACAAACTGGTTCCATCACCTCCACGCTGCAGCAGGAAGGTGATGATTATTATTAAGCTCACCCTCTCATCGTGGAAAGAGCTGTGATTGGATTAAATTAACGTATCAGAGCCTCTTAGCTGCTCAACTTAGGAGACAGATCCTTTGTTTGTCTCTACTGGAGGCCAAAGTCTGGCGAAGGCTCATAAAGGGGTAAATGCATCCCCAAGATGTCAGAAATAATGTTTTCATTAGGTGAAGTGGTGAGGAGAAACACCCCATTCTCCATTGATAAACACACCTTCAAACAAAGGCCACCATCTGCCCTGAATCCTCTTATAAGAGATTTTAATACTAGAGAACATGCGGCCCCGATTCAGACACAAAGATAACCCCCCCTCTGACACACACACACACACACACACACGCACACACACACACACACACACACACGCACGCACACACACACACACACACACACACACACACACCAAACAACGAGCAAAGGTGACGGCACCATCCTGGGATGTTTTCACACACACATGAACAGTTAAGGTCTACGGTAGTGTGTGGTGGATCCTTTTACCCCCGAGGGCAGGAATTACACCCTCAACCCCACCCCCCACCCCCGCTCCATATGTTGATAAATCAGAGGGTCGTCCATCATGGTGACGGGTGTGACGTCTGAGGCTTAGCTTTTAAGGGAAATCTGATCTCTATCAAACAGTATAAATTTAGCTTCTTAAATTTTATTTTCTGATCATAAAATTGGAAGAAAACAGGAGAAAGAATTAATTTAAACTTTTAATTACACTTTTTAAAAACTGGAAAACCAGGAACAAAGTCTGGAAACTTAGAGGCCATAACTGAATTATGTTTCAATTAGAGTTTATCTTGCTTTAACACAAATGACTAATGCAAATGTCTGACCTGTTTGACCTGATATAATCACTAGAATACGTTAAAGTTATTTGATTAACCTAAAAATTAGGATTCAGTGAGTAAAACGGCTGTTATTGCTAGCATGAATTAGCAGTTAGCATTCCTGACTTCATGGACAGAAAACTAAAGGAATCAGACTCTTGTTGAATAACTCTGCAACAATTTTTAATCACCAAAGCACTTATCTAATAATTAATTAATAATAATGTACAGGTAGAATATGCTAACTCCACACATGCATGAGAACATGCTAACTCCACATATGCATGAGAACATGCTAACTCCACACATGCATGAGAACATGCTAACTCCACACATGCATGAGAACATGCTAACTCCACACATGCATGAGAACATGCTAACTCCACACATGCATGAGAACATGCTAACTCCACACATGCACGAGGACACGGTAACTCCACACATGCACGAGGACACAGTAACTCCACATATGCATGAGGACACGGTAACTCCACACATGCATGAGGACATGCTAGCTCCACACATGCATGAGAACATGCTAGCTCCACACATGCATGAGAACATGTTAACTCCACACATGCATAAGAACATGCTAACTCCACACATGCATGAAGACATGCTAGCTCCACACATGCATGAAGACATGCTAGCTCCACACCTGCATGAGAACATGTTAACTCCACACATGCATGAGGCCACAGTAACTCCACACATGCATGAGGACATGCCAACTCCACACATGCATGAGGACATGCCAACTCCACACATGCATGAGGACATGCTAACTCCACACATGCATGAGGACACGCTAACTCCACACATGCACGAGGACACGCTAACTCCGCACATGCACGAGGACATGCTAACTCCACACATGCATGAGGACACGCTAACTCCACACATGCATGAGAACACGCTAACTTCGCACATGCATGAAGACATGCTAGCTCCACACCTGCATAAGAATATGCTAACTCCACACATGCATGAGGACACAGTAACTCCACACATGCATGAGGACACGCTAACTCCACACATGCATGAGGACACGCTAACTCCACACATGCATGAGGACATGCCAACTCCACACATGCATGAGGACACACTAACTCCACACATGCATGAGGACATGCTAACTCCACACATGCATGAGGACACGCTAACTCCACACATGCACGAGGACACGCTAACTCTGCACATGCATGAGGACATGCTAACGCCACACATGCATGAGGACACGCTAACTCCACACATGCATGAGAACACGCTAACTTCGCACATGCATGAAGACATGCTAACTTCACACAGGCACATGAGGACATGCTAACTCCACACAGGCGCATGAGGACATGCTAACTCCACACATGCATGAGGACATGCTAACTCCACACATGCATGAGGACATGCTAATTCCACACATGCACGAGGACACGCTAACTCCACACATGCATGAAGACATTCTAACTTTGCACATGCATGAAGACATGCTAACTTCGCACAAGCATGAAGACATGCTAACTTTGCACATGCATGAAGACATGCTAACTTCACACATGCATGAAGACATGCTAACTCCACACATGCATGAAGACATGCTAACTTCACACATGCATGAAGATATGCTAACTCCACACATGCATGAAGACATTCTAACTTTGCACATGCATGAAGACATGCTAACTTCGCACAAGCATGAAGACATGCTAACTTTGCACATGCATGAAGACATGCTAACTTCACACATGCGCATTAGGACATGCTAACTCCACACATGCATGAGGACATGCCAACTCCACACGTGCATGAGGACACGTTAACTCCACACATGCATGAGAACACGCTAACTCTACACCTGCATGAGGACATGCTAAATTCACACATGCATGTGTGTACATTTTTACTAACTGGAAAGAGTAGAACGTAATTCAGCATCAGAGATCAGGAGCTGTATTGGCCACGCCCACACAGGTCAGTGACTGGAACACTTATGATTACTAACATTATAATAGCATTTAAAATTTGTGTTTTTAAAACAATCAAATAATTATTTAGATGTGATGAGTTTTATGTAACAAACAGCAAATGAATCCTTATCCTGGTAAAAGTAAAGCGAGTAGATTTGAATAACTTTTAATGTATTAAGAGTTTGTTTGCCCTGTGAAACAAGACTTAGGGATGTTTGCATCATTTCCGCTGGTTCTCTTATTGAGGCTCTAAGTTTTCTCCCAGCTGCACGCTGTTCAAACAGATGAAATATATCTGAATCACTCCAGTAAAAAGAGTAAAATAGATTTATTTACAACAAAATCAGGCTAAATGTGGAACTAGGAGCAGCAGTCTACTTATGTAGAACGTCATATAAACGGAGAACAGAGAAACATTTAGGAGAAAAGCGCAGCTTGTTCAGAAATAATCAGTTTTCATTCATCTCAATTAATCCCACATGCGTCTTGTGATGTTTGGTTGGTTTGGATTTGAGGACAGAAATGAGTGAATTTCCAAAGCAAATATCAACCTTTATATCCTCTAATGGTCTTTGTTTTAAGTAGTTCAATCTGCTGGAGTAAAGAGACAAATCTTTTATAATTTCAGGTCTGAAGGCTGAGTTTAACGTCCCTTTTTACTGCAGAACCTCCATAATCCCTCACTGGGTCACACAGATTAAGGACTTGTTCAAAAGATGAGATACAGTGCTCCCTGGCAGTCTTTACCATGACACACACACACACACACACACACACACACACACACACACACACACACACACACACACACACACACACACACACACACACACACACACACACACACACCGTCATGTTAAACATCACAAAAGTCATGAATCTGATTGTGAGCTTCTGTTAGCTCGTGGTACAGATTCATCTAACCTTTTCAGGGGGTTCAGCTATTATATCCTTTATGGTAATACAATGTGCACAAGACACTTTTTACCAAACGCTGAACCTCATTTTGTCTACTAGCTCAGCCACCCTGGTAGCCCCGCCCCTGGCATGAATGAACTGTGACTATTATACTTCAATAGAACCGGTGTGACAACATGAAGTCAGCTAAAAGACCTCAAAAAGCAACACACCCTTCCGTTTCTAAAGTCATTCAGGTGCTAAAGAATCCTAGCCTAGTGAACTAGACCAAATTCTTGCTTTGCAAAGTTTATAATACATTTATTTAGTCTGGCTTGCCAGGCTAAAAGAATCCAGAATGACATCAGAACCACTGCAGGTCTAACTTGGGTCAGGTCAGAGGCCGTGGTTCAAATATAGGAGAGAAATTGGGGGCGTAAACATGGGAAAACTCATTTGTTAAAAAAACATCAGGATGATCCCAGAGACTAAAAGAAGAAGCTCTAAAGAAGCATTAACGCTGAGTTCCAGTCAGGCATGGTGGTGGTAGTGTGATGGTCTGGAGCTGCTGAAACTGGTGGAACCATGACTTGGAGGAGAACCTCTGATCTTTGGATAAAAACCAGCCGTATCGGTCTCCTGGGCCTAAAACATCTGTACCAAATTACACAACAGTCCATCTACAGCCAAATATTCTAATCCAGAACCAGCCTGTTGGTGAAATGAGCGACGTCCCAAGAGCTGTGCACTATTTTATAATGTGCTGAGAAATAAAACGATTTATCTTT